AATAGTAAAGAATAAATTTATTCAATAAAATCTCCATTGACTTCAATCACGGCCTCCAGACGACTTCGGAATCTCCTGCAACTCTTATGGACGGTCTCCTTGTTTAAGTTGGTGAGTGCTGCCATAATCCTTGACTTCAGATTATCTTTGCGGTTTTAAGGAGTTCTGTTGGTCTATCGCTTAACTGCACCCCACACATAATAATCAAGGGTGTTGCAGTCTGGGGAGTTAGGTGGCCAGATGTAAGGGGTGATGAGGTAGAAGGAATTAATTGACAAACATGACTGGGTTCTACTGCTTGTGTGGCACGGTGCAGAGTCCTGTTGCCAAACATATGGTCTTCCAGCTGCCACCCTCTCAGGGCTGCACTACCTCCTTGTAGCGGACCCTTTGGAGGGGGGACACGATATGAAAGCACGGGCTGAGCGCCTCCGTATCGTAAGGCGATGAGGTCACAAGAGGCCCGCTAACGTTTTTCGTATTAAAGAAGTTAAATCTGACAAGATGAAACAAAATGGAGAACAGAACGAGGATATGTATGATCAATTTATCAAGTTTTTTATATAAAGAATAGACAATGGGGTATATTGGTCTGCCAATCATGGTAATGGTGGTCGGACTGGTCGTGTCGATAGTTGGAGTCGAGGTGCAGACGTTCCGGTCATGTCGATGGTTGGAGTCGAGGTGTAGACGTTCCGGTCGTGTCGACGGCTGGAGTCGAGATGCAGAGGTTCCGGTCGTGTCGATGGTTGGTGTCGAGGTGGAGAAGTTCCAGTCGTGTCGACGGCTGGAGTCGAGGTGCAGACGTTCCGGTCGTGTCGACGGCTGGAGTCGATATGCAGAGGTTCCGGTCGTGTAGACGGTTGGAGTCAAGGTGCAGACGTTCCGATCATGTCGACGGTTGGAATCAAGGTGCAGACGTTCCGGTCGTGTCGACGGCAGGAGTCGAGATGCAGAGGTTCCGGTCGTGTCGATGGTTGGAGTCGAGGTGCAAACGTTCCGATCGTGTTGATGGTTGGAGTCGAGGTGTAGACGTTCCGGTCGTGTCGACGGTTGGAGTCTAGGTGCAGACGTTCCGGTCGTGTCGACGGTTGGAGTCAAGGTGCATACGTTCCGGTCGTGTCGACGGCTGGAGTCGAGATGCAGAGGTTCCAGTCGTGTCGATGGTTGGTGTCGAGGTGCAGACGTTTCGGTCGTGTCGACGGTTGGAATCAAGGTCAGACGTTCCGGTTGTGTCGACGGCTGCAGTCAAGGTGCAGACGTTCCGGTCGTGTCGACGGCTGGAGTCGAGGTGCAGACGTTCCGATCATGTTGATGGTTGGAGTCGAGGTGCAGACGTTCCGGTCGTGTCGACGGTTGGAGTCTAGGTGCAGACGTTCCGGTCGTGTCGACGGTTGGAGTCAAGGTGCAGACGTTCCGGTCGTGTCGACGGCTGGAGTCGAGATGCCGAGGTTCCAGTCGTGTCGATGGTTGGAGTCGAGGTGCAGACGTTCCGATCGTGTCGACGGCTGGAGTCGAGGTGCAGACGTTCCGGTCGTGTCGACGGCTGGAGTCGATATGCAGAGGTTCCGGTCGTGTCGACGGTTGGAGTCAATGTGCAGACGTTCCGGTCGTGTCGACGGCTGGAGTCGAGATGCAGAGGTTCCGGTCGTGTCGATGGTTGGAGTCGAGGTGCAGACGTTCCGATCGTGTTGATGGTTGGAGTCGAGGTGTAGACGTTCCGATCGTGTCGACGGCTGGAGTCAATATGCAGAGGTTCCGGTCGTGTCGACGGTTGGAGCCAAGGTGCAGACGTTCCGGTCGTGTCGTCGGCTGGAGTCGAGATGCCGAGGTTCCGGTCGTGTCGATGGTTGGAGTCGAGGTGCAGACGTTCCGGTCGTGTCGATGGTTGGAGTCGAGGTGCAGACGTTCCGGTCGTGTCGATGGTTGGAGTCGAGGTGCAGACGTTCCGGTCGTGTCGACGGTTGGAATCAAGGTGCAGACGTTCCGGTTGTGTCGACGGCTGCAGTCAAGGTGCAGACGTTCCGGTCGTGTCGACGGCAGGAGTCGAGATGCAGAGGTTCCAGTCGTGTCGATGGTTGGTGTCGAGGTGCAGACGTTCCGGTCGTGTCAACGGTTGGAATCAAGGTGCAGACGTTCCGGTTGTGTCGACGGCTGGAGTCAAGGTGCAGACGTTCCGGTCGTGTCGACGGCTGGAGTCGAGATGCCGAGGTTCCGGTCGTGTCGATGGTTGGAGTCGAGGTGCAGACGTTCCGGTCGTGTCGACGGTTGGAGTCTAGGTGCAGACGTTCCGGTAGGGTCGACGGTTGGAGCCAAGGTGCAGACGTTCCGGTCGTGTCGACGGCTGGAGTCGAGATGACGAGGTTCCAGTCGTGTCGATGGTTGGAGTCGAGGTGCAGACGTTCCGATCGTGTCGACGGTTGGAGTCTAGGTGCAGACGTTCCGGTCGTGTCGACGGTTGGAGTCAAGGTGCAGACGTTCCGGTCGTGTCGACGGCTGGAGTCGAGATGCCGAGGTTCCGGTCGTGTCGATGGTTGGAGTCGAGGTGCAGACGTTCCGGTCGTGTCGACGGTTGGAATCAAGGTGCAGACGTTCCGGTTGTGTCGACGGCTGAAGTCAATGTGCAGACGTTCCGGTCGTGTCGACGGTTGGAATCAAGGTGCAGACGTTCCGGTTGTGTCGACGGCTGAAGCCACTGAAGTCAATGTGCAGACGTTCCGGTCGTGTCGACGGACCGGAGTCGAGATGCCGAGTTTCCAGTCTTGTCGATGGTTGGAGTCGAGGTGCAGACGTTCCGGTCGTGTCGATGGTTGGAGTCAAGACGTTCCGGTGCAGACGTTCCGGTCGTGTCGACGGTTGGAATCAAGGTGCAGACGTTCCGGTTGTGTCGACGGCTGGAGTCAAGGTGCAGACGTTCCGGTCGTGTCGACGGCTGGAGTCGAGATGCAGATGTTCCGGTCGTGTCGACGGCTGGAGTCAAGGTGCAGACGTTCCGGTCGTGTCGATGGTTGGAGTCGAGGTGCAGACGTTCCGGTTGTGTCGACGGCTGGACGTTGCAGTGCAGGCATTGCTGGTCGAGGTCGGTATCGAAACCTCCCGTAGTAATTACAACTGGGGAAGGTTGGTTGGTCGTCGCAGATGATCGCTGCTGGTCGTCGCTGGTCTGGGGCTGGTCGGTTTCAAACGATGTTGGAAAGGACATATCAAATATCCGGTGCTGGCGCTGCGTGTCTTCTGGTCGAGTTCGATATCGAAACCTCCCGTAATAATTACAAACGTAGTGTACGGGAAAGTTTATGGACGACGTGCGGGCATCCAGTAGGGACGGAATGCCGAGAGTCGAAGATAAGCAAGGAGCCAGAAGTAAAGAGTCGAAGTAAAGAGAGAAGGAAAGGTCGACTCAACTCGCGTCAAGTTGGCAGACAAAAAAAAAAAAAAAAATGGAGCGTAAATTAATACGAAGCTCTGGTCGACGTCCTGGTCACGAAGGCCAGGAGCCTGCGTACCGACCGTTCAGGCACCGACCAAGAATTCGGCGAGAAGTCGCTGTGTTATGCCTAGGGAGACTAACAAAAAATGGTCTCGCTAAAATTCTATAAAATCTCTCTAAAAAATGACTTGAGATTTGCTACGCAAAAACTTAGGTCTAAAAATGCTAAGAGGTATATTACGACTAGGTTCATAATACTAATGAAATAAAAGTTAATTAGCTCATCTCTAAAACGAAATTACCAGCGTGTAGGGAACACGATCAAAAGGTCAAGGTTGAAATACCCTGTTCTCTTCCGCTTTAGGAGCGGCCAAAGGCGGTCGCGACATCCTCAAGGTGCTTGATGCAGGCTTCCATGTTGAGTGGGAGTTCCTCACCAACAAATTCGGGAGTTTTTTTTATTAGAATCATTAGACTGGGATTTTCGATCTGCCGTATCTTCGTAATCCCCATTAGACTCATCCAACTCTTTCCAAATCCTTTGCACTGTCCTCAGATTGGCACCCAAACACTCTAAAATGTTCGTATTGAAGATTCCGGCGCGAATGCCAAGCAGTACAGCATGCTGTTTCCAAATTTCTGGCGGAGTGAATTGCGTCATGGTGTTCCTTTTCTTACAAACGGTGCCCAACTGACCCTACTATACTGTACAGTCGACAAAATAAAAAAAAAAAAAAAGCGCATTTGCGAAATTAAACATATAACATGGCGCCAATTTACCCATCGCACCTTGTATATATATCTGTGCTGATATGTTGGTGTGTGTGTGTGTGAGTGTAACAGCAGATAAAGAAAAAATCCATCACATAAAAATTGAGATGCGAAAAGGTAACAAAAAGCAACAATTACGTAAAAATGCAATGACGCCAGTTGCATACACAAATACTAACTGCCAACTCAAGCAATTCATCAGTGGCGTTAACCTCAATAAAAAAAAAAAAACAAAACAAAATATTATCAAACAAAATAACAACAATGGCAAACTCATCATCTTCAAAACGGGCAGATTTTACCAAATATATTAACCACGATGTCATTGACGGCCAAATACAGTTCTTAACCTTAGGTCTCAGCTGCCATTTCCAATTTGGATTCAAACCAATTAAACAGAAAAAAAAAATGAAATTGAGATATTTCAGCAATCAGTCCAGCAATTAGAAACTAAAATCAATCAACAAGCACACAAATTTTTAAGTATCTTCTAAAATCCGAAGGTTTAACCGATGCTATAGACGGTTTCTTCACATACTCTCAGTTCTCGAGGAGGAAAATCTCGTGGGAGAGGGTGCCGAAAGGAGAGTTAAATGGAAAACTTGTGAGATTTTCTGTCATATTTGACGAGAGACATGTGTATGGAAAGAGACTGCTGTCCAAATGTGCAGGATATCTTTTACTAATGCGCACCTAATACAAGGCCCAAGAGCCACTCAAGGTAGATGGTTACTGCGTGGTGTTATACAAGCCTTAGGGGTAGAGATTGGAAGTAGACTTTAGAAGGAACCTGAAATCCAATCCAAAACTGGAAACAAGGGACAAACCTCTACTCCTGTTCAAAAAACCATGTAGGAGTGTGAACCGATATTTCTATCTATCTATCTATCTATCTATCTATCTATCTATCTATCTATCTATCTGTGTGTGTGTGTGTGTGGGTGTGGGTGTGTGTGTGTGTGTGTGTAAAAGTTTCCAGAAGAAAGGAATATTGTTTTCCGAGTCTGAAGCACAATGTGTGATTTATGCCTAAATGAAGTTAGAATCAACTAAGTACCGATGTGTCTGGGGTTGTGCCGTAACAGCCAATGAAAAGTGTTCACGCAGACATTCGAAAGGCACTAGCTAAAGATATCTTTCAGAAACTGATCAAGATACGAAAAAGACAGAAAGATAACATTTGAAACGATGAAAAGATTGTTAGAATGCCATATTATGTACAATCTACTTCTCTGTGGTACGTGAGTTTCGGAGAATTTCTTCCCAGCTGAAGCGACTTGAAGCAACCGAGATGTGGTTTCACCAGAGAATCTTGAGAATACAATAGAGAAAAGATGTGAGAAATGAATAAGTTTTCACTCATTGTAATTGGAAAGATTTCGAACAAATTGTTGCTAATCATCAGAAAGAGGTGAGTCACATAAATGAGAGTTTAACAGATGAAAAGAAAAAAACACGGAGGCCGATGGATTAGAGATATGCAGCTGGTAAAACTATTTGAAACATTTAAACAAATGAACCGAGGAACAAGTAGCGTAAAAAAGGGGTGTAAAATGAAAGCAGTGGAGAATACTGAACGTCCAAATCCTTAAGATAAAGATAGATTTAGTCTCTAATTTCCAACAATAGAAATTAGAACGATTACATTTTTATACGTTCTTTTTATACATACAAATATTTAAGTAAATGCTCTGTTTATAATAAACAGTATTAACGATCTGAATGTCCGAGAAATTCTCATAGAAAATATGCGTCCTCCGACAGGAATCGAACCTGTATCCTACACGGAACCGTCATATAGCCTGACGTGCTTTACCGATTTAGCCACAGTAGAACGTTTCGGTTAGTAAGGTCGATTTTACTGTTTTTAAATGGACAAAGTCCGACATTCTCGGACTTTCAGGACGGAAAATGTCGTTAATACTGTGGCGAAATCGGTAAAGTACGTCAGGCTATATGATGGTTCCGTGTAGGATACAGGCTCGATTCAGGCCGGTAAATATTGTTAATACTATTTATTATAAACAGAGCATTTACTTAAATATTTGTATCTATAAAAAAGAATGTATAAACATAAAAATGTCTTTAAAATAATTGTCAGACTGTGTCCATTTTCTAATGTGTGGCGTAATTTGTTTACATTTTGGATACACGTCGTGCAGATATGAATGCACGTGAGTGAATCATAGAAGATTGTAGTTTAAAAACAGTAAAATCAACCTTGCTAACCGAACGCTCCTCTGTGGCGAAATCGGTAAAAGCACATCAGGCTATATGACGGTTCCATATAGAAGGACACATATTTTCTATGAGAATTTCTCGGACCTTCAGGCAGGTAAATGATGTCGTTAATACCGATTTACTATAAACAGCATTTACTTAAATATTTGTATATATAAAAAAGAACGTATAAGCATAAAATGTCTTAAAATAATTGTCGGACTTTGTCCATTTCATAATATTTATATATTATTGTTATTTTTATTATAAAAGATTATAAGAAGACAATGTTGAAATCGTTATACAAAGGCTTTCATGCTTCAATACTTTGATTGTATTTCTTCAGGCGAAGGTAAGTAACTGGTAATTAAATGATGTTTAAGGAAATTTAAACACATTTTTACCTCTTTTCCGAAAGTTTTAAGGAGGGAAATATAAAGTCAGAATTAGAATTAAAATTAAACTTGTGGGTATGTCTTGCTAAACTAATTAAATGTCAGATCTACGCTCAATATAAGGAGTACGCTCAAAGATTGGAGGTGGCTGAGTTTTTTCATGTCATGATAAACTGGAACATAGACAGGCCATCGTTGGCGATTGCGGAAAAAAACGTCAGCGACAAATATATAGTATATATATATATATATATATATATATATATATATATATAAAAAGGTGCAATGGGTAAATTGGCTCCATTTTATATTTTTAATTTAGCGCATGCGCGTTGTTTGTTTGGGATTTTGTCGACTGCACAGTATAGTAGTATGCTCAATATCAGAAATAGAGCGTATGTAAATATATATATATATACAAGTGAACATTGAAGTCAATACTCAGAGGCGACAGGCTGTTCCATGCTAGACGCAATCATCAGGCCGCGTCTAGCATGAAACAACCTGTCGCCTCTGAGTGTTGATTTCAATGTTCATTTATATATATATATATATATATATATATATATATATATATATATATATATATATTTCTGTGTCTGTGTAAGTCTGTGTGCTTGTTCGTGTGTGTGTGTGTGCGCGCGTGTGTGCACAAAACAAATACATTTTTATGATCATTATGCAAACATTTGCCCACGGCCTGCCGGTTTAGCTATGAGTTCGCCTCTTGATTTTATTTCATTTCATTTCTACAGGGTTCACGTAGAAAATAAAATCTTTCATCATTTTTTGTTAAGCCTATAATATATGTTCGATATTCATACTCTCCTAGACGAAATTAATAACTATAAAGAAACCTGATTAAAACTTCTCTCGACACTTACGAACTTAACATTAATAATATAATTCCGTTTTAGTAGACGCTGATCGTCACAATTTTACTACTTCATTATAAAAAAGAAATATAAGTAAAATCTCTTGTCTTCTCAATTACAAAAGTGAATGTCGACAGACATAAAATTGTAAAAATAATTTCTTCTTTGCAAAAATGATTTCAAAAAAGAACTGAGCCACAAAAACAAACTTTATCAGTCATCATTTTCCCAGCTGACGACAAGAAAAGGAAATTAGCTTTAATAAATTTAAGAAAAAAGAAACCCTCAAATATTAAACAACCATCCTGATCTTTACAAAAATGGCTTGCAAGATTAACATTCATATCCTCGATCTGGACGACTATTGTGATATAATTTCATTTTAATGTTGTTTTCATCATTTTTCACAGCAAATGTCATTTTGTCAGAGTATTTTCATCTTACTCGATATTTTTGGCTTCTTCATGACTTTTTTTTTCAATGCATCGCGTATTTCTTACGACATTACATTTCGCTAGAAAAGCTGCTGCTTTTATCCATTACTTGACGAGCTGTTAATTTGGGGTTGGATACTGATAACCTCACTAGCATTCTTTGATTTCTTTTGTCTATTTTGAAGAATCTATTTGTTCTTTTTCACATCAAAACAGCTCTCAGCTTCTTCTGGGGGACTTGGCCCACATTCCTTGATATTCCAAGCTTCTTAGCAATTCCATGTTGTGTCATTCTTCGTGATATTGCCAAAATTTTCACCCTCTTCTTCTAAACAGACTCTTCTCATTTTGAATCTACTACTGCACTTAAATTTGTAAAATCTAGATACAAAAAGGAAAACTCATCCGAACAATTACCATGAAAGTATTTATAGAAAAAGGATCAGGGAAGCTACGCCATGGTGGTAGGAAAGGGGCTGAAACATAGATGCCAGATCAGGACCAATAACAACACAAATTTTTATTTTTGTATTTTATCAAGAAACCTTAAATACATAGCAGAAGTACCAGATCAGACGTTGCAGCATGGACGAATGGTAGACCTATAAATATCTAAGATAGATTCTGGAGAGAAAATTGTCTCGTACGACACAGTGAACGAACTCTCCTAGCAGCAGACCAGCAATTGATTTAATATAATCTTTTCACTTCATGTCAGCGGGAAACGTTAGACCAATAAGGCGCAAGATGTCACTCTCTTGGAGGTTAGCATCAGCCATGCTGAGGGAAGGCAAAATTGTTCTTTAGGACGATTAAAAGAGAGCGGTTTTGTTTTGAAGCGTTAAAATTAGCAAGCCATTACTTATCCACAGTTAACCACAGAATATAGATCATTTTTGAGATCAGCTCCCAATCTGACCTTATCTAATCTCGAAAACGCACCATTAAAATACATAAATAATTAGCTGTGTCATTAGCAGAGATACCGAGTTGAGAACAGATGACATCAGGAAGTTCGTTGATGAAAATTGGATACAATGAATGTCCATGGATAGATCCCTGGGGGAGGGGGACATCTGCATTAATGCAAAAAAGATCTAGAAGAGTGACCATTCATGACAGCTTTAATTTACCGATTTGTTAAGAAATATTGAATCACATGACACATTCATCCAAAAATATCATTGTGAAAAAGACCAGCGTGCTAAGCCCTGTCAAACGAGATGCAACAGCCCGATCTTCACCATTCTTATCTAAAGCTTGATAGACCCTTTCTGCAATAAACGTTAACACATCAGCAGTGGACCTAGAGAAGCGAAAACCATATTGCTTGTCTGTAAGAAGACTTGCGAGGTGATTTGCTTAACGAATTCAAATTTAATTCTAGTACGTTGCCAAAAATTGTTAGAAAGCTAATTGGGTGATAGAAGGACCAGGTGGTTCAGCTGAGTTCTTAACGACTAGATCTATAAAAGAGGATTTTCAACAAGCAGGAAAGCTAGAGGCGTTTATTGCAGAGTCTAAAGACAACAGTGACCAGTTCAGGTGCATATTTCTTAAGGACTATTGCAGAGATATCATCCAACCCTCATCCTTTGTGGGGATCCAGTTTAGAGATGAGAACAGAAGCTATGGACTGAGTTATATGGATATCACACAATAGAGGCTCAGTAATAAGTGGAAAGTTAGGCAAAGTTACTTCAGGTGAGTCAAGAATAGAAGGTTTCAATAAAATAATCTCGTCTTTTTATTTTTCTTCATTCGCTCATTATTATGTTTCATCAACATCCATATTTTCAGAATGGTGTTTCATAATTTATTTTGGCCTTATTGAAAAAGAAAAAGAAAAATTTATTCGACGAAGTCGCCGACAAATAGATATTTTAATATGATCAAAAAAGGCGGAAAAGCGGATTAGTAGCTCCATTAATATACACTCGGGTATTTTCCATTTCCTTCTCCGGCCGGTAAATCCATTTTGCAAGATCTAACGTAGCGTCAAGGAAATGAATCTCTTTTAAGCTTATCTTATTTAGCTTGCGGACCCTAGAACTTAAAAAAAACCCCACTTTTTGTAATGTTATTTTTGAGAAGACCCGTCATTTTTCCATTGCAATTTTGAATTACTATCAAGTCTTCATTTTGCAGACGCAAGCATTTCCCCCTTTTTAAGTGTGTTTATTGAGGCAGAATTAAAATTCTTACAAGTTCATCAATTCTCATTCGTCCCTCATTAACGACCGCTAAAACAATAGCATAATTAAAACTATTCACATTAAAAGATGGACTGTAATCGTTAATAGCAAATTACAAAACTTAGCTGTCGAAATAATTAATGGCAGCTTTTTGTATTTCTCACTATTTGTTGAGGAACCAAGTCGTTATGTTCCCAGAACTAAAACATTCATTCTGTGATATGAGATTTGAATTAATTGATCAGATGACAATGTGCAGACATTGAGTAATTAACGAGGACCTCATCTGGATAGGCGATAATGACGTGGCATGTTAGTCAATTAGTAGACAAATGTTGGAAACAATAGCATCTATTTTACATAACAAATACTTATTTCTGAATAAATCTTGTTTATTTTTAGTTGAAAGATTTAATCAAAGGAAAATAGAAGTGTTTATTAGACGGATTTAAAAAGAACGATTTAATCGAATGAATTTAATCCAAAGATTGTAGAAGGATTTAAGGACAAAAGAAATACTTAAAAGAAGTTTTTAATTGAAGAATAACAGAAAAATTTAATACAGGGTGCGGCAGAAATTCCTCCCACATTTAAAATGTTGACACAAAAAACAAAGTAACTGCTATTAAAAAAATATTTTACTGTTGTCTAAGTAAAGGGCTACAGTTTTTATTAATTTGATTTTAAAAATGATATCCTCCATATGGTGGCCTTTATTCGCCATACAAATTTATAGACGGTTTCTAAAGTTTTCCATCACGCTTCTAGTTCTTCCAGGTGATTTTCTTTTAGGCGCTAAACTTGTGAACCTGATATTTTCGACCATAGCAATTGTAGTAAAAACATAACCAGTGAATAAACTTATTGCACTTTACTCTAACTACTCGTCTACTGACGGATTTTACAGGGTACTTTTTATACCTCCTAGATCTTAAAGGAGAGTTAACCGATGATTTATCAGTACAGCAATATCGATTTTCTCTGACGTTACATGAATTGAGTACGAAAAGCTGTCTGTGTTGCAATTCCAGATTCACCAGACTTTAAAAAAAGGTTTCAACAGCAAACCAACGGTGTTAATTGGTCCAAGCCATGATGGTTTTTAACGGTATCTGAAAAGAAAATGATATGACATGAAGATGCCCTCTTCACTTGATCAAGTTCACTAGCACCCCACGAGTGACAGTTTAAGATATGGGATGGATTTTTGCCTCACCTTGTAGACGGATTTTTTCGAAGGATAATACAAGGATTTAATCAAAAGACAAAAGAAGGATTTATCAGAAGAATTTTAAATAAAGAATTAAATGAAGGATTATATATGGATTTCAGAGAAGGATTTGATAGACTAATTTAATAGGAGAGTTTAATGGACGGGTTTAAGGGGGATTTAATGGGGAATTTAATGGGAGGATTGAATTGGGGTTTAATGGCAGGATTTAACAGAAAGATTTATTAGAAGAATTTGATATTATTTAATCTCTAATGTGAGAACTTAAAAGACGTATGTGGGGGAAATATTATAGAAATATTTAATCAATACATGATAGAAGTATTGAATAAAAGGATTAAATAAAATATTTTAATAGAATGATAATACAAGGATTTAACTGATGGATTCAATAACTGGATTATAGAGGATTATAGAAAGATTTCATGGAAGGATTTTATAGAAGGATTTTATAGAAGGATAACAAAAGGAGTTAATCGAAGAATTTAATAGAAAAAAGGTGGTTGCCAAAAAGGAAATGAGAATTATAGAAACGGATTTCACATTAAAAGGATCACATATCCTTCTTCATGAGAAATTGTTTCTGTTTTTTTTTGCTTTCGTTTCTCCTTTATTTTTTATTTTTATTTCTTTTTTATTTTTATTTCCTTTTTATTTTATTTCCTTTTTATTTTTATTTCCTTTTTATTTTTATTTGTTTTGTTTCATTTTTTGTTTTTATTTCCTTATTTATTTCTTGCTTATCCATCTTTCTTTTCTTTTTTCAATTTTTTTTATTTCCTCTTTCCTTTCATTTTTTGTTTTCTTTCTTTTTTTCTTTTCATTTGAAATGAGTTACGTTTTTCCACTCAATTTTCTTTCTTTCTTTCTTTCTTTCTTTCTTTCTTTCTTTCTTTCTTTCTTTCTTTCTTTCTTTGTACAAACTCCACAATCAGTTAATGGTTCATGATCTTGTTTACTTTTGTTTTTTTTTTTCCTGACATCATTTTCTGTACAACACGGAAAGACATAACAAAAAGTCGATTTTATTTCCGGATCTTTTTTCAACGAAAGAGCACTGATTAAAAAAAATCTCATGTTTTTTCCAGTTCTTTGTAGTTTTTGATGTTGTAGAAGGGGGCAGTGCAGGGGCGTGATAAATGGGACGCAATAAAGACATTGTCCATTGGTTGTAGTTCTTTTTTCTGGAGTGTTGGTGAAGAAACAAAAACATAATACCTCACCGAATTAATAAGGGAGGCAACTCGAAAAAAACAAAACAAACAAAAAACAAAAAAAACAAAAAATAAACATCCTGGTTGGTCAGTGTGTAGCGCACGTATTGTAAGCTGACGAGGATATACATTTAAATCTCAAGAGTTTACAAGAGGAATTTATTTGAAATGAGTCATTGTATTTCACAAGCTATTCGGACTCATCCTTACTCTCTATTACGATCTTTCAACTTTTATTCCAGTTTGACAAATAACTGCATATGTAGACTAAATATAAAATGTAACACCGTATGACGACCTCTGATGAGCAGTGAAACCTTTTCACTTTCACGAATATATCCGTTAGGCTCTTCCGTAGATGAAAAATGTTTCGTGTGGTTAGAGAATTAGAAATACATTTTGGTCTCCCCAGAAGCAGCAACCGGAAATGGAAATGATAGTATGCCTCCATTACAGTAATGTAACACCCTGATGTCTGCAGTACAGACCGAAGTGCCTAGGAATTTTGCCATCTCGTTTACATCGAAAAGGAATTTCTGTTGTATTTTCTATCTATAGATTTACGAATAAATATCATTCTATCGCATTTTATAATAGCAGTCTATAATAGTAATACAAAAGAAGAAAAAAATATATAAATTCGTATTTATAAATCATACTCCTGAAGAATGTCGAGGAACACACCAGTCACAAGGTAGATATAAACAGAATAAGAACGAGAATATTAATTAGAACTACTTGTAGAATAATGATTATGACATCGCAGAAAATGAGGAAGGCTGGAAAGCGTATTAGTTAAAACGAATAAAGATCAAGATACTCGTTCGAATCTGTGTTGAGAATAATTGCAATGATTCATCTTCGAATTTCAGACAAATAGGAAGACCGAATAATGAATCAATAATAAAGCCAACAAAAATGAGATCCTCGTGGAATAACGTTTTTAAGTAATCGATTCTAAATAAATTTGCTTGAATCTCACGAACCACAACAACATCTTTTGTTTGCCTTGTGTTCTTTTTTTCATCAACCTGTCTTTTGGTCATGAAAAAGAACTTAACTTACTGAGCGTAAAACATTTGAACATTCCAAAAATTTTGTCTCTTCCTCATTAACGTGACTTCTAAGACTTTGTCCGTTTTAATATCTTGCAATCTTTTTTCGCTTTACATTTTACTTGATCCATGTTTCCAAAATATTTTATTCATTCAGCTGAATATTTAAGCCGAATAATTCTTTCTGATTCAAATGTTTCCATTTTTTTCTCTCCGATCATTCATCAAATGTTTAGTTTTGTTTTTTAATTTGTATTTAGCTTCATAAATACGACAGAAAAAAAGTTACATTCCCTCATAACGCATTTAGGTTAATAGGAATACATCGAAACATGACAATCGAATTAGAGGTTTCTGGGAGAATAGAAAGATTGTGTTTCCCTGGACTTGTAAGCTGAAAGAATTTGGCTATTTGCCTAGAAAAGTAGCATCTTGCATAGTGATGCTAAGTTAGTCTAGAACACCGATCATTATATAAATTTTATTATTATTATTATTATTATTATTATTATTATTCATTGATTTGCTGCATTAATAGAATTTGGTGGCATTTAATGGAGATCAAGTGACAACAAATTCATGTTCGTGTTGATTTTCTTAATGCATCATCTGAATGATTTCAATTCTTCTTCAGCTATCCAGTTCTTGCAAGATTCTTCGCGACTGTTCAAAGTGTGCCAATAATGATGGGTATCAATTATCTTATTCATGTGATACAATTTATCTACATATTTCTACAGGTTTTCATTTTCTTCCAATTTTATTCTGCCATCTGCTAAAACGGGCGATATTAATTACATATCTTCTTTTCTTGATGATAACTGCTTTTCTGGATAGGGTGGCATTCTAAGTCTTAGAAAATATTTTTCTTCTCTATAACTTTTTTATTTATGTACTATTGATATTTATTATTATTATTATTATTATTATTGAGTTTTCATACCTTGCGGTGGTTACCTGATAGTTTACAAAGATATTAAGTGACAGCAAGTCTCCTCATTATTCGGACACTTTTCTTAGTATTCTCTTTTCAACACGGTCGTTCCGATGGTCCTGACTGTTATCATGATTTCTAATTCTTTCGGCTTAATGAGTTCTTCTTCTTCTTCTTCTTCTAGCTTTGTGGTCTGGCGCTACATAATCACAATCAAAGAACTGTGTCAAATAACAGAAACCATACCACTTGAAAACTTTTAACAGGGGCAGCAACTAAAATGGATATCCCATGTAATTCGAAGAGAAAATAATGGTCTAATCAAAGATGTTGCTATTTTAAACAAAAGTTTATAAAGGCAGGCCCCATCAATACTAGAAAGAGCGATTATATTTATTGGACTTGAGAAATCTATTTTCCTGAAAAAATTGTTTCAATTTTTTCATCAGAAGCGTTCCCAGTGCTCCGATGACATGACGGTCATCTTCCTTTTTCACTACATCCTCAGCTTTCTTGTAAGGTCGTGATAATAATTTTTCTTTTCGCTTTCCATCAGAATTACTCTGTGGTGTGTGAAGAACGCATTAAAATCAACAAATCTGGCCTGATTTCTTGTTGTTTAATTCGACCAAATTCAGATTTCTGACCTGAATTGGGCAATCCACTCGAATCTCAAAGTTTCAGATCATGAGAAGTCGATATTTGAGATTATTATTATTATTATTATTATTCACATGTTTCCTTATTATTAGTCACCATTAGCGGGTATCTTCAGAAGAAGACTTGGACGGCTTACTGTGTCATTTTCCGATAATTCATGAAGCTGAACAGGTACCAAACTATATTGGTTTAACTTTTCCTTTAGACTTTATTGACAGCAACGAAAATGGGTTCGTCAAAGCCCCGCCCATATTTGTGGCGATCCTTATGACTATTTTTGTCAATGAGTTATGTGTCATGCGTAATACAAGCTTAGGCGATTATGTATCTTTCGATACATAACTGACGAGGCAGATTTTTTCCCGCAGTAGGTTGTCATTCTATTGTAGGCCAGTAGCCATCCAGGACTATAGAACCCGCTCTGTTCTGCTATTTTACCCATAGCTGGGGGGAAGAAGAAAAGGATTCATATGTTTCCCAAGGTATTAGCACGTAAGTGAATGGATTCGACTGGAATTCGAACTCGGCTCTCCGATTCCTCAATTCGAGCCGCTATCCATTACTCCACCCTATTTTCATTCTTCTAGGTTTTGCGTTTCTCACAGATATAATCTTTGAACCACTATCGCTGTCATTCTTTTTATTTGTCTTTTGTTTTATTAAGAAGAGAATTTCAATTTCAATTTGTCCTGCCTATCCTTTTCAGGATTTGACGATTCTATATTTACCACATGGGAAATTCTTCTTTGGAATTTTTGAATATTTGCTGGCCTGCTAAAAAGAAAATTTTGAAAAAAATATGTTCCATATAAACATATTCCTTACACCTCCACTTCCATCAAAACAAATAAATAAAAAATAATATATATATATATATATATATATATATATATATATATATATATATATAATCCAAACTTGGAAAAAAAAAAAACTCCCACCACCCATTTATTTAATTTAATGAAATTTCGAGAAATTCGATTTTCTAAAGCTTAATGTTTATATTACTTAAAAACAAAATTCTTTTACAATTTTAAATCATCAATTTCTTTTTGTAAAACCCTGAATCGTTTAAAATTAAAATGCTATAAAACTAAGGCATAATTATAAAATCTTTTTATTGTTTTTATGAATAAGATACTATTGTCTCAAGAGAAATCTTTTTTCAATGAATAATGAATTTTTACAGGAATTGCATTCATTTTTAAAAAAATCATTGGAATAATTTATAAAGTTGTAAATCTTTTAAAATTCTGTATTAATTTATAGCGCTTAGATGATATTGTTATTAAGTAAATACTATATTTACTAATCATAAATGGGAAACCTTATTACAATTTAGTGAACTCCTGTATTTTAAAAAAGAAAAGATATTTTTTTGTGTATAAATGTACAGAGTTTTATAGATACGGGTGTTCATACATGACATTATCAAAACATAATATATAATATAGAAATAACTATAGCATATTCAGTGTTAAAGTATCTAAAATTCAATAAAACATTATATTAAGAATATTTTCCTAAATTTTTAAGACTAATGAGTAACCAAATTATATAAAAAGGCGATCATGTTATATTCCGCAATTATTTTTACAAATATATCAACCGTAGAAAAATATTAGATAAATTTCCATGTCAATCAAGCTGTCAACACGTCAACACCTTAATTAAACAGCTATTACCGTGTTAAAAAATGCATTTCTGTGATATTTTAAACTTAAATTAAGTAATAATTGTTTCAAATCAGATCAATTAAAATTTAAATCAGAAAATACTCCTCAAATAAAATTTCAGAAAAGTACATTTTATTTTGAGAAATATTTTTAATAAAGAGAATTACAATTATTTAGATGGCTAGAAATGGAGTTAAAATCAGCAATTTTAGCAATTTCAAAACGAAAACTACTTCCAATCAATTTAAACTAGTTTGGGAATACAGCAACTTATTTCAATTTAATCTATTAACTTGAAATTAAAACTAATATAAAGGCTTCAAAAAAGATCTTTCCTTTTTAAAATTAATTTTAAACCTTAGGTATCAAGTTTTCTGTGGAGGTACCTATATATATATACTAGCAGTAGA